TTTTTAATTTTTTTGGCAGAACCGGGGATTGAACTCAGGCCTTTGTGCTTGCCAGGGAAGCACTTACTCTACTGAGCCATCTCCCCAGCCCCACTTTTTTTTTTTAATCAAAGTTTTAATAAGTTGCACAGGCTGGCTTTGAACTTATGATGTTCCTGCTTCAGCCTTTTGAGTAGCTGGGACTATATATGTCCACCATTATGGCTAGCTATGTCTGCTGACATTATTGTGAATCAGGAAAGTGTTTAATGTACATTATTTCATTTAATTCTTACAGTAGTCCTGTGAAATCATGTATTACTTTCTCCTCTATAGAGGAGAAAGCTGATAAAAAAGAAATAATTACGTGTACAAAATTACAAAAGTAGCAAATATCATTTATTCAATATTTATTGAGTATACTTTCCATAGCACCATTCTAGACAGTATATAATTGGCAATGAGTGAAACAAAGGCCCTCCCCTCATTGAAGGAACTCACTATCAAGAGCAATATAAACAATAAACAGACAATATCGAAACGTTAAATCCAATGATCATAAGTATTGTGTCAAACAGTAAAGGCAATTAAGCAGGTAAGAGAGTGCTAGGGTCAGGTTCTGGGGTGGCTTTACCACTTTTTTATACCAGGGTAATGGAGTCCTCATTGACAAGGTGACAATTCTGCAGATACCTCAGGATAGGGGGTTGTCTGTAAGAAGAATTTTCCTGGAAAAGGAGGAGAAGAGGTCCTTGTGCTTGTGAGAATGATTTAGCTGGCCATACTTTTTAAGTGGGTGAAGGGGTGATGGTTTCAGTTTGAACCCAGATTTATCTGACTCTTCATCTCATATTTTAGTTACTGGACTAATATAACAGTATTACCTAACCCCCTTCCTTATGCTGGAGATATAGTGTATTAGCGAGATGCATTTTCTCATGGGAAGGAAGAGGACGGTGATGTTCTACTCTGGCAGCTCAGTGTTGGGTCTGAAGAAAAATAGCATTATAGGATTACAGACCATAAGTTGGATAAACTGGAAGTGTAACTTATTGCTTAGAATTCTTCACTGGTTCTCTGTTACCTGCTGCGCTGTAGAGAAATTGTTTTTCTGAAAACCCTGTACCATTATCTAACACCTACTCCCATCCTGGAAACATTATATGGTATTTTCATAGGAAGGAAGAAATTAGTGATGGTTTACTCTGGAGGCTCAGTGTTGATTGTACTTTGAATTACGATAAAGACAGTGTTCAGAAATTCTAAGTCATCCTACTCAGGTTGTGAAATCAGTGATAAACTCTTTGGCCTCCTGTCACCTTTGGAGTGAAGTCTACAAGGCTTGGTAAAGAATTCGGGGCCTTCACAGTGTGTCTCCTAGCTTTTCTTTGTCCTTCTAATGCCCTATTCCCTGCACATTTTAGCAGGAAGCAAAAGAGTCCTCAGTGTCATATACCAAGGACTTTGCATATTCTGAAATGTCCTTTCTTTTCTCTTGACTGAGATTTTATGTCTTTTTTGAAGCCTTTCTTTACCATTTTCCAGTAGCTCTAGATTAACTTGCAGGTTCTTCCTTTGGCTGCTTTATGAGCTCATGTTTCTTCATCATTGTTCAACATTCTGAGTAGAAACCTTTCACTCAGTCCCTGTCTGACCACACAGCATTGGAGGTGCATAGAAATCTATGCAATCATCAGTTATAGCTTTTATCACACTTTATTTTGTAATTTCTTTGCTTTCATGGCTGCCTCTTTTTCCAGAGTGTAAGTCATACAAGCCTATTTTTATCTGTATTCTAGCCAACCATAGAACTTGGCCTGTATCAAGTGATGGCAGACCTTTTAAAGGTTAGTACCTAAACTATAACCTAAAACCTGAAACTAAAGTTTTAGTTCAAGTAAAACAAACAAACAAAAAATAAAGAAAAACACAAAAACTCCCTCATGTATCAACGTCTTTTGTCTTGAAAACAACACATGTGTCATAGGTTTGCCACCTCTGGCTTATGTGGTAGTTTACCTGTTCACTTAAGCTTAATAATATATGCAATATTTATAGAAACCAAGGTGTTCTAGAACAAAATAGCTAATAAATATGTGTATGAAATATAAAAGAGGATTTACTAGGTTGGCTCACATGATCAGGGGTGCACAGCCTCACAGTGTCCATTTGCATGTTAGAGAGGCAGGAAAACCAGTAACTACTCATTTCAAGAAGCCAGAAGTCTCAGAATAAGGACCAATATGCAGCCCCAATCCAAGGCTAAAGGCCTGGAACCTCCTGTAGAGTTACTGGTGTGAATGTGTATTCAGGGGTTCAAGAAGCTAGAGTGTAATGTCTGGGGATGAAATGGAAACAATGGAAAAATGGACTTGCACATTCAGGTGGGCCTCCCCATCGGCTGCTGACCCACATGTATTTGGTATAGTGTCTCACTACGCAGCTCAGACTCATAGTGATCATCCTGTTTTCAGCTTCCTCAGTGCTGGGATTACAGGTGTGCTCCACCACACCTGGTCTTTATGGCTGGTGCAGAGCATCCAGGGGTGGGGCCTGCATGGCATGTGGTGCCAATGGGTCCCTGCACTTGCCCAAGCAGGTGCTTAATCTTTTTTTTTTTTTTTTTGCGGTACTGGGGATTGAACTCAGGGCCCTGCACTTGCCAGGGAGGCACTTATTCCACTGAATTATCTCCCTGGCCCAGCAGGTGCTTAATCTGCTGAACTATCTCGCTGGCTCTACCTCACCAACTTTCCAACCATCTCTTATTTCAATTGAGCTGACAACCAAGATTAACTGTTGTAGGAGATACAGTGGAGGATTCATAGGTTGAACAGTGATAGTCTACTGTAGAGAAATAGATGGTAATAACAGGTACTATTTAATGAAAGAAAATTGTGTGCCAGATATTAAACTCAGTGCTAAAATGCAAAATTTCATTATTCTAGATCAAATTCAAGCATGGATTGTGTATTTTATTAAGTAAATTAAAGATAAATTAATGTCTTTTTTTTGTATTATAGGGAAGGGTCTACAGGGTGTTCAGGGTCTCACTACTAGATCGGACTTATAGTGATCCATCTGTTTACAGGCTTACCAAGAGCTGGGATTACCACCACGCCCATCTCAGTGCACCCTGGGTGTGGGGCTGGCACAGCAGGCAAACCCATGGCCCCTGTGCGTGCTTGTAGGCACTTTTACATTAATGACTTAATAGATAAAATTTCCAAGCTAAATTTTATTTTTTTTTTCCAAGCTAAATTTTAAAGATGCACTCATTTTCAAATTATTGTTTACTGAATATTAGGAGAGTTAGTGGTGCTTTAAGGAGAGGAAGAAGGTCCTTAGAAGAAGACAGAAGTTGTCTTTGTTTCTTTATATTCAGTTTTGAAAATGTTACTACAAATGTGTATACTTGGCTGCATGGCAGAGATCTTCCGGAAAGAACACTGTACTCATTTATAATTTGGACAAGTCATTTTGCGTGAGACAGAGTGCTATTGGAAAGAGAGCCCAGATGAGGCCCTGCATAATACAGTGCTTTGGGGCTGTATCAATGATTAATTGTAAAGGCTTCTGTAAGTTCCATCCTTCCAGTCTGAGATCCAAAGTGGAATACTTCAGGCCATGGCTACTTAGTGCAAGCCCTGGCTTTCACTTGATAGGAAAGACTACTAATTAGAAAGTCTGTTAAAAAAAAGAAAAAGATAGTCTGTTGAGTAATTTTTAAACAGGAATTCTCATTGCTGATTGTTTTGTTTCTCAGATAAATATATTATCTCAAATTGATATATTTTACCTACTCCCATAAAGCAAATTTAGACATACATTTAATTTTGCCTCTATAGCATTTGTTATCCTAACAATGTTAAATTGTACTCTTTAAGTACTTTAAAAAAGTGAAAATCTTAAAAAAAATTTATGTAGTTTTTCTCACATAACATAGCCTGAAATAGTCTCCTTTTCCTTTTTTGTCTCCTTAATTTTTTCAATATTGTGCCAATTAAATGAATTAGATATTCTTTATCGAATCCTACTTCAAGTATATCAGGAGGAAAGACTATATTAATGCTCTAAAAAGATATTTAAAATTTTCTCTTTAAACCCTTTTACTTTCCAGTAAAAATTTATTCTAAAGCTCTTTTTGTGGTTCTGTTGCAGTGATTTTGCAGCCAAAGCCCTGTGGGAGGCCTTGCTGAACACCAAGCACAAAGAAGCAGTGATGGAGGTTCGGAGACATCTAGTGGAAGCAGCAAGCAGAGAAAACCTGCCAATCAAGATGAGTATGGGTAAGTCCAGCCGCTTCACCCCTAGGGTGGCTACAGGCTCTCTGAAGAAGCTTATTTAAGCCTGCTCTGAGCTGTGGGCAAAGCAGGGTGACAAGGAATATAGGTAGACTTATAAACAATGTTTGTTAACTGTTGAGAGAATAGGAAATAAAAATGTAAACACTGCCTTTGGGTTCAGCATTGACCACTTTTCTTGAACTTGATTTGGGAAGTCTAGGAGAGTTTTTGCTTACAGAGTGCCTTATTGTTGTTCCTTTCTTAATCTAGAACCATTGAAATTGATCTCAGCCACATCTCTTAATTGTAGTCCAGTGTTACACTCCATTTTCCCATCTTTCTTCTGCTAGATAAAAGTGCTTCTAGAGGCTTTGAATTATGAATGAACTGTAGTATTGGAAACCATTTGAGCAGATGGATTTGCTGTGGCCTGGTACTGTAATTTTAAGAGTGGTCTACAAATTCTCCAGTTGTAGGAGAACTATTGCTTCTTTTCCAGAAAAACATAACTTACTGTCCTCATTTTCTTTTTTCATTCAGCTTTGTGTTTGGTATTAGAAGCATATGTCTGCAATACACTCTGTATTAAATAGTTTTATTCATTTATTTTTTTTTCATTTATTTTGATTAAGAAGAACCACAGAACTAATGTTTTGATTTTAGAAAAGAAATTTTGCTTTTTGTTTCTAAATACATTAAATAATTTAAAGATGAAAATATTTAAATGTGGATATTGAAACTAGTTAATAGGTGGAATTTATCTATTTGTTGGATCTTTTTTGAGATAGGGTTTCACTATGCAGTGCAGGCTGGCCTTGAACTTACTTTGTAGCCCAGGATGGCTTAAAACTTGCAGCAGTCCTCCTGAGTGCTGGGATTATAGGGATGCGCCACCATGCCTGACTAATAGGTAAGATTTATTTCTGGAAATTAGCAAAAAAATTTCTCAAGTTTAATAAGTCTTTTCTTTGTCTGCTTATTAGTACCTACCACTAAATATGAGTACATTTTAGTAAGTGGGAAAATTTTTCTCTGTTGGAATTCATATAGCTCAAGTTCTTAGTTATAGGTACAAAAATAAACCTATCAAGTTGAAATAAAACAGTATTGAAAGTAAAAGAATGTGGGTGAACCTAGGAGGAAAAACCATCACAGAGTCATAACATGAAAAAACAGTTGTGATATTTAGTATGACTATGTTAGATGACTATGGGTGAGAGCTTTAAGGACCATAATGATGGTATGAACTGTGAAAAAGCTTTTTTTGGAGACCTTACAAGTGCCAGGTCTTTTACCTCTTTATACACATTTTGTTATTTGATCACTGCAGTAATTCCATTATTCAGATAAGAAACTGCACCAGAGAAAAATTAAATACATTTCCCAAGGCCATACACTTGATAACAGTAGAACTGAACTTCAAATGCAAGCATTCCAGTGCCAGAGAATGTACTTTATATAGGAAACCATGCTGATTACATATAACCAATGCAGAAGTCCTACATATTTCTTTAGAGTAGAAATAAACTTGCAGCTTTGAAACTGTTGTGACAAAATTCCTGGGAAAATCAACCCAAAGGAGAAAAGATTTATTCTAGCTCATAGTTTCAGAGGTTTCTGTCCCTTGTCACTTGGTTAAGTTGTTTCATGTTAAAGCAGAACATGACGTTGGAGAGTGTGGAGTGGAGCAAAGTGGTTCACCTGATCATGGAGGAGGCAGAATGAGAGTGAGGAAGAGGAACCAGGAGAAGAGCAAGGGGCCAGGGAAGCTAAACCTGTAAGGCACGTGTACAGTGACCTACTTCCTTTAATTAGGCCCCATCTCCTAAAGTTTCCACCGCTTCCTGGTAATGTCATCAGCTGCTGCCAAATGAGCCTTTAGCACCTGTCCTTTGGGGGACTTTTCATATTCACACCATAACAAACTGCTCTGGCATTTGACTGTTTTCAAAGTTCTCTTTTTTCTCCATCCTTTTTGTTTTTCTTCTTTCCTCTCCTCTTCTACCCTCTCCTCCTTATCTCCTCCCTTCCTTTTCTTTCTGCAGCTCTACGTATATTTATTCACAAGTATGCTTACCCAAAAAGTTCCTCATTCAGAAATATGCTGAAACAAGAACCAGTTCATATCATGAATCAAGAAAAGTAGGAATGCACCAAGGGTCTTGATGATGAACTTAATGTAAATTGTGTTTGAAGATACAACCTTATAATGCTGACAGAGCACAAATTAATTGTTATTGTTCAATGCAGGATTTTTTTTAAACCATTTGTTTGCATTTAATGAGCCCCCTGTCCAGTGGCTTCAAGCTACCAAGACACAGGCCCCCCCCCCCCAATACCCTCAGCTCTTTTGCTGAAGAATTAGGATTTCACAATGACAGGCTGCTTTGGGAGCTTTCCCTTCCCAAGAACTTTGTAATAGACTGATTGCACTACATCAATGACGGGAGCTACTTCAGTCTTGTTTTTGGTAGTATTTACTCATGTCTGCTTGTTGACCAATGTCCACAGTTTATCAAGGTTGGCAGTTGGGCAGAAGCTGTAGTTTCTCTTTAAGTGGTAATGTCTCATACCGACCTTCCCAAAGTAACCTGGGTGGTATTTGTCAAAGTTGATCATGTGATGTTGCATGCCACCAGCATTACCCCAGCCTCTGGGGTGCTTCTGGTGCTTGCCAGTGCAACCATGGCCATGGCTTACATGGCCCCAAAGCTTCCAGGCCTTCCTTAGTCTGGAGGGCATGTTGGTGGTCAAGACCAGAGTCTCAATGCAGGATTTTTAAAAGATTAACAATTTTTCTAAACTTCTGTATCTTTTAAAACTAAGCAGAGCCAATTTTTTTGTAAAGACAAGTAACTCCAGGAAGAATTCAATTTTAGGGACTGGGGAGATGGCTCAGT